AGGCTTTACGGATTTCCTGAAAAGGAAAAATCCGGCCCGTATCGTCTCGCTGCTTTTGCCAAACACACGGATGAAATATGACAGAAGTTTGCACAAGCCCGACTGTTTGGCCCTTGTTGAATTTGAACTAGAACTTTTCCTTCTTCCTAATTGTGAAAATAACCATTTAAAGATCAATTCGTGAGAAAAGATGGTCCGTACACTCTCGCTCTAAATGTGGAAAGGCTAATTTTCCACATTCACAAATCATTACTAACTTTTTCCTTTTTTTATAAAGCAAAAACTCATTTTAATGCTTGAGTAAAGGATTCGGACATATAAGTAGGGAAAGGCAAAACGCTGACCCATTTCGACTTTGCACTGTTGATTAGAAAAGTCCTTGTGTAAAATAGCGTATCGTCAGGGTTATAAGTAGGGAGAAGCAAATCGCTGTCCTCCCTTAAATCTGGATATCTTGTCAGTACACCTAATTGGAGGAAGTAGGTGGATATTTTTTAAAGCTGTGATATTTCCTCCTGCTTGGTGAAGAACCCATTCCTTTTTTTATGACCTTATGAAACCGAATCTTACTAATTGATTTATATTTTCTGGGGGAAAGTATTAGTAAAAGAAAATTTCAGGAGTGATGGGAGTAATCGAGCCAATGACCTACGAACCAAGATTTTGACGCTCTAATCACTCGGCTACAGTCAAATGGCACGATGTTATAAGCAGGGAGGGGCAAGATGCTGACCCCCTTCCCACCTAATTCTGGGAAGTAGATCAATATTTTTTTTAACTGTGATATTTCTTTTTGCTTGGTGAAGAACCGGGTGTTTTCTTTTTTTTATGTCCTAATGTTCTTCCATATTTCCCTGGAAACCGAATCATACTAATTGATTTATATTTTGTGGGGGATGGAATTACTAAACCAAAATTTCAGGAGCGACCGTAGTAATCTAACCAATGACCTACGAACCAAGATTCTGACTCTCTGATCGCTTGGCTACAGTAACATGGCGCGAAGTCAGGGTTATAAGCAGGGAGGGGCAAGACGCTGACCCCCTTCGTACCTTCCGGCATAATTATCAGAGTCATTGAACGTACGGCTTGGAAGTAGATTAAGATATTATTTTTTAAACTGTGATATTTCTTCTTGCTTAGTGAAGAACCGGTTTTTTCTTTTTTTAATGTCCTTATGATCTTCCATATTTACCTGGAAACCGAATCATACTAATTGATTTATATTTTGTTGGGGATGGGAGTACTAAACCAAAATTTCAGGAGCGACGGGAGTAATCGAACCAATGACCGACGAACCTTCGGACGCTCTAATCACTCGGCTACAGTCAAATGGCGCGATGTCAGGGTTATAAGCAGGGAGGGGCAAGACGCTGACCCCCCCCCCCCATTCGCACCTTGCGGCGTAAGTATCTTAGAATCATTGACCGTACGGCTTGGAAGTAGATGAAGATATTATTCATATTTTATAAACTGAGATATTTTTCGTGCTTGGTGAAGCACCTGGTTTTTTCTTTTTTTAATGTCCTTATGACCTTCCATATTAGCTAGAAAATGGAACTATGCTGATATATTTATATTTGGGGAAAGGATTAGTAAAAGAAAATTTCAGGAGCGACGATAGTAATCGAACTAATGACCTACGAACCAAGATTCTGACTCTCTGATCGCTCGGCTACAGTGAAATGGCGCTATGTCAGGGTTATAAGTAGGGAGGGGCGAGACGCTGACCCCCTTCGCACCTTGCTGCTTAACTATCTTCGATGCCAAATCAGCGGATAAATCAATTCGGCTAATTAGCATCCAGCTGATACTCGTTTTCAGGGAGGGTTAGAGCAAGGAGGGGCGGACCAAACGTGCAATCTTGATCGTACGAGCGCAATAAAGATGAAAACCTTCCCTGGTCGGTTTTTTACTAAGCATTTGGACTTTTTTCCTGTTAGCATCTAAACTACATTTTTCTGTTTATTTTAGTTTTATTGGTCTACAATTATCAGTATTACACGGTCAAAATGGAAAATATAAAATTTTGACATCGCAGACATTTCTCTGATTTTTCAACCGACTAAACCACATTGATTTCTTTTGATCCTTCTTCTCTCCCTGTAGAGTATGAAAAATCTGATTATTGTGTTTTATAAAAATTATACTAAATTAATCAAGATAAGTTGCAGTTTTGAAAGTTGAAAGACATTTGGTGACATTTCACTAGTTTTTAGGTTGATTTTCCTTTCCAACTATTTTTCTCTGTAAATGCTCAAAATTTTGACGTGTCCTCATACCCCGTCGTCTCTTCGAGCCTGTGGAAAATCCGTCTCAAAAGAGACCGTGAGAGGGAGACATTATTTAGTGTTCCTGCAGGAAATGCTCAATCCTCTAGACGTCCACTGTTACTCTCCGGGGGCGATTTATGTTCAGAATTCAGCAAACATAGCATGCGCCCCGCTTTGAGACGGGTAAAAAAGAGAAGCGTTGAGCCAGGCGCAATCATGCACATGATTAAGCATCGTTCAAAGGCCGGATATCTCAAGAACTGGGGCAACAAAATTGTCTTCGCCTCACAACCTTTAAAAACGTCGAGAAACGAGCGTTGACGTGTTCAGTTTCCAGACAAATCGGACTGTAAATTCGATTAAAATTTTAGTTTTGGGTTTTAAATTTTCCTTCTCTTCTCTTGAACCGTAATAGTCGAATAGAACTAAGTTTGAAAATTAAAGCAAGTCAAAAGAAAAAACTATTATATACGATAAGAATATGAAAAAAGGAGAGGCTGATGGTGAAATATAGCGACACTATCGCCCCTCAGCAGTGTGTGTGTGTGTGTGTCCAGGGTCGATAGGAGAAATAATTATAAAAGTCCACCATTGATCCTAATTTAGATACTGTGTGGAAGGCCGTTGAAAGAATATCGAAATAGCGAATACTTCACCGACTAATCAGAATGAGTTCAATGTACAAAGGAGTGAATGTATTTATTTGTGCGACAGTACGTAGAAGTTTGTTTTAAACTAGATTATATTTTGCAAGCGTTGGGGGCTAAAATGGCCTAGCTGTCCAAAGACCGTTTGGTTAGGAGGGGACGATCTCCTGGGCATGACTGTTAAGGAGGATACTGGCGACCCAGCAGCATAACTAGGTTGGTGAACTCCCCTGAGATATAGTCCATAGGGTCAACACACTGTATTATACAAGTTAGTTAGTTTTAGTCTAGATTATGTTTTGCATGCGTTGGGGGCTGAAATGGCCTGGTTGTCCAAAGGCCCCGTTGGTTCGAAAGGGACGATCTCCCGGCCATGACTGCTAAGGAAGATACTAGCGACCCAGCAGCATAACTGGGTAGGTGACTCTCCTGAGATACATACCATAGGGTCAACACACTGTATTATAGAAGTAGTTAGTTTTAGTCTAGATTATGTTTTGCATGCGTTAGGGGCTGAAATAACCTAGCGGTCGAACGTCCCTGGAACCTATCCACGTTGGTTGGAAAGCGACGATCTCCTAAATTAATAGAAAAATTGAGGTGGGGTGTGTCAGTAGAACAATCCTTTACAAAAAAGTGCGACGATCATCTGGGCATCTGGCTTAAGGGAGATACTAGAGACCAAGCAGCATAACGGCTGAAATGACCTACCTGTCGAAAACTCCTGGAACCTAACCCCGTTAATTGGGGAGAGACCATCTCCAGGCCATCGTGGTTAAGGGTTTTACTACTTACTTAGGGGATTACTAGCGACCCAGCAGCATAACTGGGTAGTTGAACTCCCCTGGGATTTGGGCCATAGAGTCAATACACCATATTATATAAGGTAATTGTAGGCTAGATTATGTTTTTCATGTGTTGGGGGCTGAAATGACCTAGCTGTTAAAACCCCCTGGAACCTAACCCCGTTGTTTCGGAGGCGACGATCTCCAGGGCATTAGGTTAAGGGGGAATACTTGTGACCCAGCAGCATAACTGGGTAGGTGAACTCCCCTGAGGTATAGACCATAGGGTCGACACACCATATTATAGAAGTTAATTTTAGGCTAGATTATGTTTTGCATGCGTTAGGGGCTGAAATAACCTAGCGGTTGAACGTCCCTGGAACCTATCCCGTTGGTTGGAAAGCGACGATCTCCTAAATTAATAGAAAAATGAGGTGGGGTGTGTCGATTCATTTTTTGTAAAGGAATTCTGTGAGTAGAACAATCCTTCACAAAAAAACGTGCGACGAACTCCTGGGCTTCAGGCTTAAGGTAGTTACTAGAGACCAAGCAGCATAACTGGGTAGGTGAATTCCCCTGAGATATAGACCATAGGGTCGACACACCATATTATAGAAGTTAATTTTAGGCTAGATTATGTTTTGCATGCATTGAGGGCTGAAATTATCCAGATGTCGGTAACCCCTGGAGCCTAATACCGTTAATAGAAATGACAAATTGTGGAGTGAGTGGGTTGTTCAATCTTTTTAAAAAGATAGTTCCTACTCACAGCAAGTTGTTTTCAATGATCCGGATTTCGAGTGAAATGAAAGGCTCTACAACCTGATGATGAGCTGTAGGCTCGAAATCCGGATCGTTGATAACAAATTACAATGAGTAGGAACTATCTTTTTTAAAAAGACCTAACTCCTTGGTTGAGAAGCGACCATTTCCTACATTTATAAAAATAATTGAGGTGGGGTGTGTCGATTCATTTTTTTGTAAAGGAATTCTGAGAGTAGAACAATCCTTTACAATAAGTACGACGATCTCCTGGGCATCTGGCTTAAAGAAGATACTAGAGACCAAGCAGCATAACAGCTGAAATGACCTAGCTGGCGAACCTAACCTCGTTGTATGGGAGGCGATGATCTCCAGGGTATCAGGTTAATGGGGAACACTAGCGACCCAACAGCATAAACGGGTAGGTGCACATCACTTCGGGGTGAAACTTCATTATTGGAAAAAATCTATACAAACAGAAATATTAAAACAGAAAATCTATATTACATCTGAAATATGTAACCAACCTGCAAAATGGGTCCAAACGATTATAGTTATGACATACTGGGCGAGAGCTGGGTCGATTAAAACCTCCCTTTTGAAAATTAGTTAACACATTTTCCGTTTTATGAGGCGCATAAAGAAAAAAAGTGGACCTGGAAACTCTATAAATCAAGATTGAATCAGTTTTTCCGTTTATCCTCGCTCTTAAACTGGACTGGTTTTAATTAGAAAATTAAATAAATCCTAGTTAGTTCCGAATGAATTGTTTGCACCATTGTTGTGGTAATTACTTGTATAAAGCTGTCTGCACTATCTAGATGGTGGATCATGACAGACAGGTTTGGAGATTATGCAATCATGAAATAACATAAAACGTACACATTTATAACAAAACAGCTGTTTCACTAAGCAAATTGAGTTGAACCGTCTCGGCTTAACAAAGTCGAACAAAAATCATTCCTGGAATAAAATCCTTTTCTGCTTGGATAAAAGGTTAACTCTTCCTTATGTAATTATTCAATAGCATAAAAGGAATTGTTCATGCGGAGAAACTGAAGGGGGGTTTTTTACATTGAAAACAATAAACATATGATTGTATAAAATAAACGACTCGGTTTGTATAAGTGAAACTTTTGAACCAGCTAAGTTAATCTTGAGACCAGCCTTGATCTGGAAGATTTTGTAATTGCGAAACTTTTCCTCATTAAACTCGTCGAGTCAGCCGTTTTGGAAAAATGTCATACGCAAAATTTTGAGAATGGCAAAATCGTATGTTGAATTTTGTTTTTTCAGTCCTGGGGCACCTTCAAGAAAGGCACTCGAGCCCGGAACGGCCAAAGCCAGGTGGCGACAACGCTAGATCGTCTCGTTGAAATCTGTTTTGTTTTTGTTTTTTCTTTTTTCCCTCCGATGAACAGCAACGAAGGCCTGGTTCAAAGGCGGATCCGGTGTCATTCGGCACCCCGAGAGGAGAAGATGAACGATGCCCCGCCGGAAGAGTTCGAAGGACGGGAATCGAAGGAGAGCCCGTTGACTCTCATGGAAGAAGTGCTTCTGCTCGGTTTGAAAGAAGAGGGTTACACTTCATTCTGGAACGACTGCATCTCCAGCGGGCTGCGGGGCTGCATAATAGTCGAGCTCGGACTCCGCGGCAGGATAGAGCTGGAGAACAGCGTGAGGAGGAAATCCCTTCTGAATAAAAAGATCGTGGTTAAAAACGACGCCCCGACCGGGGACGTGTTGCTCGACGAGGCGTTGAAGTACATGAAGGAGATGAACCCTCCGCAGACCGTCCAGAACTGGATCGAATACCTCACCGGTGAGACGTGGAACCCGCTCAAACTGAAATACCACATGAAACAGGTGAGGGAACGGCTCGCCAAGAACCTGGTCGAGAAAGGCGTCCTCACGACTGAAAAGCAAAATTTTTTCCTTTTCGAAATGACGACCCACCCGATCGCGCAGGTGACAGCCAAGGCGCGTCTCATGAAAAAGATCCACGAAGGGGTGCTGACCAAATGGGTCAATGACCCACAGAGAATGGACAAGAGGTTCCTCTCTCTCCTGGTCCTCGCGCACGCCTCGGATGTCCTGGAAAACGCTTTCGCACCCCTCCTCGACGAGGATTACGAAACCGCCCTCAAGAGGATCAAGCATCTTCTGGAACTCGACCTGGAAGCGGAGGCGGCGAGGGGCAGCCCGACGGACGTCCGCTGGGCGGTGTTCGCGGCTTTCACCAAGTGCTGACCTTCAAAACTATTTACAGTCAAACGAGAACCCACCTTGTACAGTAATTTTTTAAACTTATAATATGTAAGGTTTGTATATTCAAATGTATATTATGTTTAAAATGTAATAAAGACTTAAAGTTTAAAAAATTCTCTTTTACATTACATCGTAAGAAGATGGCTTCACGGCCTCCTTCAAAAACATCACCTTGTATAATAAAGTAAATTAATTCCTGCCAGACAGGATTAAGATCCAACTATTGTTGAGGTGTCCCAAACTAGAGATCAGGCCAAAAAAAAGAAAACCTACTGTTGCTAAATTACTAAATTAACGCTGCACTGTGCAATATAGGGTCAGGGACATCCCTTTCTTCCTTTATTTGTTTAGCTCACTGTCCACCTTCAGGTTGTTAAACAACCTTGCCAGTGGCTCATAGTCTAGGATTTTGCTTGTGGCTTTTCCCCTTCTAGTTGCAACAATCTTCACTTACATAGACCCCTCACAAAGATATACCATGTGTTCTGCAGTCTCCTCTTCTTCCTGGGAGTGTTTCTTCTATCTGTACTCCTATCTGGTGCCTTCTTAGCAGCCCTGTTAAAAGTCAACCAGAAGTTATGTTGCGATTACCTTCCAGTAATTCCTTTGCAGTCTGTACAGATGGCCCTTCTATTAATCTCTTTGCTTGACTCATGTTTGGGGTTCCACCAAGTTGAGGACTCATGCTCCATTTTTGGATGTATCTTTTTTGTAGCAAGATGCACAATAGGGTTCGGGGCCTAGATAATCCATATTGACTCCTTTTTTTGACCATGTCCGCTTTCTCATTGTCTCTATGTCCCGAATGCTCAGGTGCTCAGGGAACCATGCTAGGTATCATTAATTTCTGCCAGTGATTCCATAGAATTTGGCTTTTTGCCTTTAATGCCTTAACATCAGGCACTACCTGGATATCAGAGAAAATGGCTATCTTCCTGTAATGTCTTCATATCTTTTTTCTTTCTCTGGCAACAGTGTTCAACTCTATAATTTCAGAATGGAAAACTGTAATAACCTAAGTTTAAATCAGCTTGAGCCTTGAATTCATCTCCAGGACTCCTGTTCCCATGCCCTTGTCGGTTTTGTCAGTATACCAGTAGGAGTTTGCCTTTAGTGGTTTCCTTTGGCCCATTCTTCCCGTCCTGGTATCAGTACCTTGTACTTTTTAGTAAAATTGTATTTTGGAGTAGTGGCCATCAATTGGCATGCCTAAACTAGCATCTCCTCCCTCAGTTTCCGTTGGTTATTTACATGGCCTACCCTTGCAGATGGTTGCTGCCTCTATGCCATGCCTCTATATATTTTTGAGCTGTCGATATACGAGTAGGAATTGGCCTTCAGAAGTATTCTTTGGCCCAGTTTGCCCTTCTAGTATAAGTACCTTGTACTTATTGGTGAAGTTGTAGTGGCATCGGTTGGCATGCCTAGTAAGGCATCAGCCTGTTTCTCTTCCTTCAAAAGTGGGGTAAACGACTAACAATAAAACAAATAAATTGTTTATTGAAGTGATGTCTTACATTAAAGATAAGAAAATTGTATAGTAGAAAAATATAGAAATATATATTTTAACAAATTTATTTTCCCTTAATTGAAAATTTACCCCGCACTGAGGAAAATCGAGTACACTGTGGCCAGGCATCTATGTTTGTGGTGCTGAATATATATGTATTGTATATTTTGTTCTATTTTGTATTTGACAACCTAAGATGCAAACGGGAGGCTAGAATTTTAAGATAATGACATGGTACACATTTAAAAGCAGAGTCAGAAACCAGATTGAGTCGCTCAAATGGCTGTAGTTTAAAACAAAATATGCGTGAAAGAAGTGGAAAAGAATGAAAGCCGGTGATGACCTCAGCTGTTTGTCAGCTCGTAAACTTCCTACTTTATAGGATTGACTTTTAGTTCCCAAGACCAGTCCATGCTGGGGAAACTTGCACTATTAGTACAAGTGCTGCTATCAGTTAGGTAAAGTACTACTTTTTAATTCTTAATATTTTTTTCATTTAATAAGTGATAATTTGATTATAAGTGCCAGGTTAAAATTAAAATATCACTTACTTTGTCCTCTTGTTTGTTTGATAATGATAATGTCAAATGCTGTTTTTTTTTTTTTTTTTCTTCCTAGCACAATTCCTGAGTGCAAATTACTTCTAAAAAAAAGCACACGATTCCACTATTTGATTCTTTATTTTCCCCTTGAGATAAGCGATCCAAAATAGCCCGTTGAAATGAAATCAATGACAGCAATCAATCAAGGTTAAAGATTTTTTAATTAAACATTATGCAATATGACACGTCGTAAAAAGATGTGGATAATGAAAAACAAAGGGGTGAAATTTGGGCTATTGGTGAGGAGAGAGCTGAAAACCGGGTTAGTGAGTCAATAAGTCAATCCTCATTTTTTCATCTCACCTCAGATCTGAGTGCGTTTTTGCATTGTCCATCAGGTACATCACTCAGTGCGCTATGTGGGACAGAAAGACTGCAACGTAATTGCAATTTGCATAACTTTTACGACGCTTCCACTGTGGATGACGGTTAATTCAGCACTGGGGGCTTTTTCCACCAAATGGAATGAGCAAAACCCGACAATTACCCAATCTTGGAAGAGCAATTGGATGCAGCTAATACTCTTTGATTTCCCACCTGAAATTTGCAAGACAATTTATACCACCGATAATTGCTTAACATTACACAAGATCACCTTGTTTTAGGCCATTTAGGACAAACTGTTAAATTATTAGTAGATACATTGAAATATAAGCTTTAATCTGGGGCTTAAAGTCCCATTCAATAATTAATTTTTGAACTTAAATTCATTTTAATTTAACAATTGACTTACCCCTATTTGTGTACCTATAAACTAATTTTTATAATTTTTCGTTTTGTATAACACTTTATTATATATTTAAATTTTTCTAAGATTTTGATGGTAGCCCTTAAATAGATCTCTAGGGATATTCTCATTTTCATTATGTATTAATTTCATTTTCTTCATGTAAATATGTAATTGTTTTAGTGTATTTTATTGTTTGTATTGTAATTAAATACAAATAAAAATCCCAATAAAAAATATGTTCCTTCCAAAGATCTTTCTTACAATGAAGGTTTAAAATGTTAAAACTTGATTTTGTAATTTAAAAAAAAATTCTCCCTTTGATGGTCTCCTCTTGACATGAAATGAAAAATAAATTTCTTTTTTTTTCCTCTTGACCAACAACGTACAACTTATATTTTGTAATTTAAGAAAAATATTTTCACTTGAAATAAAACAAAAAATAAACTTTATTCTGGGACTTAAAAGTCTCATTGAATTATTGACAGCCCAAAGATCTTTCCTATAATGAAGGCTTAAAAAGTTACTTCATTTTTTTTCCCTTGAAATGAACTGGAAAATAAACATTATTCTCATACTCAAAACCCCGTTGAATAAATAATTATGGGGGACCGTGGTTGGTTTGATAGACTCTCGGCTTGTAAATATCCCGCGGATTCCACCGTCGCCTCTGGCCCTTTTTTCACGATGCCCTTCCTCGCCAATACGCATACGCGTAATATATTGTCTGGCTTGGCTAATAAACATAATTCATAACACCATTAATTAAAAAATATATGTGAACCTTCCCAAGATCTTTCCTATGATAAAGGCTTAAAATGTTAAAACTTCATCACTTAAATTTAAAAAGTTCTGTATCTCCTTTTGCTAATTTCCCCTTGATATGAAATGAAAAAAAAAACTTTGTTATTTTTTTCCTCTTGAATAACTACATACAAATACAATAATTGTATTATAATTGTCAATTATTGTATAATTGTCAATTATTGCAAACATAGAATTTTGTGTGGGCAGTTGGGAATGGAAAACTTGAAAGTCTTTGGTGATAACATTTGAAAAATGGCAAAAGGAGGGAAAACTCATAAGGTGGGGTTGAGATGGGGAGTTGATGTCCGAGTGGATCGAGGTCACGATAGCTCAGGTGGTAGAGCAGCGGCGTATCTAGCCGAAGGTCGTGGGTTCGAATCCCTCTCGTGCCATTAGCTTTTTTCATCTCAACTACAAACCTTAATTAATTGTAATGTATTAATTGTTCAAGCATACCACGAAATTAGTGAATTTGATGATAACATTTAAAATTCGGATTTCAAATTTGGCGTCATTCGCACTATGTGTGCCACTTTTCTTGGGATGCCCACATTTGTCCATTTATATATAAAATGAAGAGAGGAAAATACATTTTGGAAATTTTTTGGCTGATTAAGTTCAAAAGAGTTCACTAATTTTGGAGATATTCCGATGATTCTTGTCAAATTCAGGTCTTCATTGAATTCCCGAACCATAATCAGTCTTTTTTGAATTTGGGGAGAACCATTTTTTTTTTTAATATTTCTTTAATATAAAAGGAAAAAATATTTCAAATTGGTTAAAAGAATTGTGAATTGAACTAAATGTACACTTACAGTAAAATCCTTTTGACCGCAGATGGTACACTGGTTTTCACCTCCTGATGACTGCAGATGGTTTCCAGTGATGTAAAAACTGAAGTTTATATATTCTCAGCACACGCTGATAAGTTCTTTTATAGATTAACCATCAAAATGGAAAGTTAATTATGTGCATTCAAAACTTTCGACGAGGTTGTACCAACTCAGTTGATGAAATTTATTTGCTGTGTTCATTGTTGTGTCGAGAAGAATATTTTGTCCAAATTTAGATGAATGTGATTCAATTTTTTTTTAAAGTTCTATGAGATCTAGGAGGAGTGAAAAAATTGATAAATCTAGAAGGAAGGAACAGCCGATATCATTTTGAATAATTTTCAATAAAAATAATTAGTAATCTTTGCATTTCAAGAGAATTTAAATCAAGCTCAGATTTCAATTTTCGCAATTAATTACACTTTTTGGAATACCATTTTTACAGTACATTTTCAAGTCTAGAGGTGAGATGTCGGTAGCTTAGCTATGAAGTGGCTTAATAACCGTAATTCAAACAACCACTTGACAGAATTAATTAAACTTTTATCTTGAGATAATTCTCAAGTGGGTTTAAATGTATAAAAGCAATTTGCACAAATATTGGTATTGATTCTTCAGGAAAAAATGATGAAAGCAGGTAAGGCATTTGGGAATTTTTTATTTGAAAAAATTTATAGATGTTTTATTTATCGTTTATGTGCATATATTGGTCCAATTTTGGCTTTAAATAGATATCTAGTTTTCCAAAACGTTGTTAAATGTGGTTTGTTATTAAAGCATTGAAATTTTAATTGATCTGAAATCCAAGTAAATAAAGCAATTTTTTGGGATGAATTAACTAATTATTTAAAATAAATTTCATTTAATATTTTTAATTTTGATAATAATGGTTGTGGGGGGGGGCATTGGTGACCGCAACGGTTTAGGCATTGACACGGCGCTCATCACTGTATGGTAAAGGTCACGGGTTCGAATCCAGTGGCCCTGCATTCGAACCCGACCTCCTTACAAATGAGCTTCTTTTTTTTTTCAAAAACACGGGCACCCCGAGGGTTGATATAACCTCTGCTGTTGCGAACCCTCGTAAAAAAATTAAAAATAATGGTTGTTAATGTACATTAAAATTTGTTTGTAATATTAACTTTTTTTCGGGAATATTTATATTTCCACTGAGGATATTTAAAGGAAAACATCGAGAGTATAAAATAACTGTAATGTTCGGTGAATTTCCAGGACTCTTATTTTTGGCCATCATCGGCTTGTCTCTTGCGTTCTATTGCGAAGAGAAGAAGACCTATGACTCGCCGGACGAGGAAAACTGCAGATACTACCACCACTGTGAAAGTGGAGAGTCGTCCGAAGGAGCATGCTTCATCTTCTTCAGGAAGTTCAACCCTGTGACACTCAAGTGCGATTGGGCCTGGAACGTTGACTGCACTGCCAAACCGGCCAAGCTTCCTCCTTCATGAAATGTGTTTTTTTATGTATTGCATTTGAAAATATAAGAGCACATTGTACAATGTCTTTTAAATATGTAATTCGGCCAATTCCAACAATTTTGTTATAACTTATCAAACATGAAATCAATAAACATTTAAAAATAGTTATTTTAAATTTAATTTTTTTTATTAATTTGCTCATCCATTGTTATTATCCAATCAAAAAATATACATTTATAGCTTTTAGCTTAGTTTCATATGACTAAAATGACAAATTCTAGAACAAATGGCAAGATTCGTTAGGATTGCAGAATAATTAGCAAGTATCTGTTAAATAAAATTAATTTTATTTTGGAATGGAGAAAAAACTTGGAAAGACGAAATGGTGAAACACCACTGACACAGCAACTAAAGTGCTTCATTCAACTTTTGTTTATTAAGAGGCAATTTTGAGTCAACTGTGAGTCCGTCTGTAAATATGAGCCCAGCCAAGCAAGCGTGGATAAGCAGACCAAAATAATCAGTAATGACCAAATTTCAGGTTCACCATCCCACAAACATGGGAGAAATCACACAATTTAAGATTGTCAACAGTAAAAAAATAGAATGAATAGATCTAAACAGAAGCTTTAAATAAGAATATATATACCACCAAGCAATAAAAGTCCATAAGTTCTTCTGCTATACTTTATATGAAACTTGGATAATTGTTTATTTAACGAAACACAATTAGAGAGGACTATTGTAAAATTGTATGAAGAAACTATTGTAAAAGTGTCTTGGGTTTAAGGTTATGAAGCACATGGCCAGCATACTACATTTAACATGGAGAAAATAGTCATCTCGCTAATAAAAGTTTTATTATAAATATTTATTATAATTTCCATTTTCTGCACTCTTGGGAAAGCCCTGATGATGGCACTATAAATTGCCGAAAGCTTGATGAACCCAACAATTAGTCTTCTTTTTTCTTCACCTGCTAATGACCTCCATGAATATTGAAACTCCACATAGATTATCTGCAGGTCAATTAACAAACATCATATTTTCAAACAAAATTATTAATCACATTATTTTAGAAAGGTAATTCCAACCATGGAATGCTTTAAAATGATTAAACCCCTTAGAACAATGAAAACATTCTCACCACAGTTGTTCATCATCAGTCAATTTTTTTTAGTTTACTGTGAATATTTTTTTCCCATATGATAGTACATTCTTGGGCAAAGCTTAAATGTTTTTTCCTTGTACTAGTGCACATCTAGCCATCCATGTTACTTGGTGCTGACGGCAACCACCGAGCCAGCACAGCCCCAAGACCAACCAGGTAGGACATTCTCTCCGCTTAAAACGGGGTAGAACTTGAAACAGAAACATTACATTGTACGGTTTACCCTTGGAAAAGTCTACCATCATTCCACACTCCGGGGCATAACACGCCCAGAGAACGCAAAGATGTCCCCCACTAGTATCCTAGCCGGACTTATGGAGTAACCGCAGCCAGGGTCAACAAACAAAGGATTGATTATATGCTGACTCAAATTCTGACAGGTCATCGATTCTCCATCATAAACAGTCCTTCTTGCGCATCCAGTCAACCTCAAACCATCTGCTTCTAGAGTGAAAAAGCAACCAACAGGCCAGACTACCTTTGCTGCAGTGTATGATGACTCAAGGGTTACGATGGTCTCCGACAAAGTACAAGTCTTTTGGGTTTTGAAATTGAGTTTGCTTACTTTTGATTTATTAATCATCTTTATATTGCCTTTTTTTCTGTTTTTTAATTAAATTATTTTTAAATTGGAATCATAAATATAATATTGTTATTAATAGAGCATGTATTTAAATAAATTCCTGATGTTAGGGTGTATTTTCTCCTGGAAACACACACACACCATACACAAGCAAATGATACTAAAAATATATATTGTGGTGCAGATCTTGCTTCTCTTGTGTCCTAGGATATTTCCCTCAAACGGATAGAACAGCCTCGTAGATGAAAAAATTCAATTAAATAAATGCTCAAGTTTAAGGGGTGACACCACTGGCTTACAATCAGATTTATTGTTCAGCGTGGAGTCTTCATGCTAGGGGTGACAACAGTGAGTTGTCGCACCGAGTTGTATATATTGAAGGTGGTGGATTGTTGGAAAGCCTTCTCCTGATGGCAAACTGTGAGACAACCTCTCTCATTAATTCAGAATGATCAACTCTGTTACTCACCGACTCTGACTCTCATTTACTTATTCGCGGTCTCTGGTCTGATGGCTGATCCAGGAGTGGTCTCAGATTGCGAATCTTGGATGATGAGACCTTAGAGCATATGGACCAGACCTTGAATGGTATGTATTTTTGCTGAACTTTCACACATATTATGGCAGACTAACACAGCAACATTAGGCGGACCGACAAAATAACAGGTAGTAAAAGAAGAAAAATAAAAAATATTTATTGTTAACAAAATTAATTATATATAAAATAATTACACTAAATTTCAAGCACGGCAAAAAGCCATCTTCTTAAGTTTGGAATTATTTGAACTTTTTTTTTACTGTATAATTAAATAGTTATAAATTATTAATTCAACCAAGTACTCCGTAAAAGAAGGATCGAACCAATAGACTGAACTAAGGAACTAGGAAAGTACAATAAGACAGAAGGATGCAGAGCTTGGAATCATAAACCCCAACTTCCTCTATCCATCATCATCATCACCAGCCTCTTTTTCTCAAAGCTTGCCAACATTAACGAACCGGACGAATGTGATTCTCTCTTCTTTGAAAGGTCTCAAATGGCATGGTCTACAGAAATAGCCACCCATATCATTTTCTTTGCAAAACACCCTCTATGGAGACAAACTGAGATTAAGAAAAAAAAAGTAAATCAATTGTAGCTATGGCAGTCATTCCTTAAAAGAAGGATCGAGGATCAAACAGGGTGGTCACAAAGATCTGTCCTCACTGGATTTAGCTTGCTTATAGAATATCTTTCCTTGAGCGGATCATTCCTCAACCATGGTAAATAATTGAACTCTCCTGTCCACTTAAACAACCACTTCTACAAGAGCTCTATACAGAAGAAATTGTTCAGGCTGTTTAGCTGTCCTCAAACTCTCGATGAACCATTCTTATCTTTTGTAAAATTAAGAAAGCTGAGTCACTGGGATGTATTGTCTATGTAAGGATCAAACTCATAAGAGTAATGGCGAGACAAGATACACCAAGAATCAAACCAGAAAACCTTACGCCTCACCACCTCATGACGACAGAATTTACCAATCGATGAGTGAAAATTGAGAACACTTCAGATAAAAAATTCAAAAAGTTCTTTAAAAAAAATTGGTTCAACAGAAGTTTCAATTGAAAATAGTTTTTTGTTAAATTAATTCACACCGTAGCACCGTTTGATGGAAATTATCTCTAATTGAAGATGAAAACTATCTCGGCAACATCAGTTGCTAAAGTATGAAGAATTGCTGTTTACTTATTTGTCATCTAATAATTTAAGTTCTCCAATATAATACCAATCATATCATTGTATCTATTCTAATAGGTTCTAAAGCATACATTATAAACTAGCCAATATTGTGCTATCTTTGCTTTCTTAAGATGCATATGTCTTGATTGTCTTAAATTTATCCTCCCGTGACTTAAAAAATTTGTCTTGTTTCAAAAAGGGACTTTTTACCCATTTTACATCTACTGTTGATAATTGAGTTTGAAAGAAAAAGTACATAAAGAATGTATGTCGTGGTTACACGGTTAGCTTCCAAGTGTGCACGAGAATCCATCCAATATTAATAAAATGGCCAATTTTTATTCTGAACATGTACTTTTTGGATATCACATACATTTTCTATTAAAAAACTCCATGTAATAGGAGGGGGTAGCCACTAGCGTAATAACAAAAACCCAAGAGATTATCCCATTGTGCCGAACCAATTAGGTTAACTTAGGATAGTGAATGCATAGTTTTTACTGTATGAATGTATTTATTGGCTTGAATGAAGGGTGGGTGTCTAATTAAAAATCAGCTTGCCAGGCACCCAACCGCAGGATTAGGCTGTACATGTTAGCATAGTTCTAGGGGTGGCATCATCAGCAGTATATCAAGAACTCTTGATACCGAAACTTAGTTTAGATAATTTTTTAAATAGCACGAACATGTATTTTAATTGACTTAGGATATTTTAATCATGTGTGAAATGGTTAAACATCAAAGACAGGGTAATTGAAAAATAATAATAAAAAAAGCATATAATAACAAAAAAAGGATGATATGGAAGGTTTCACCAAAATGAAATATCACTGTGCAAAAATTATTATACTTTTAGTGATGATATCACCAGGGCTAAAGAAACTTAGATTAAATTAATTCAATTTGAACTAAATTTTAAATCTATTGCCATTAATATACATTTATGTAACCATGGTGATGAAAATATTATTATTATAGCACTGGTCGATTATAATTTTAACTATAACATTATTAATACTTTTTTTATTATATTATATTTTATTATTATTATTCATTATTTTTGTACATCAGTCAAACGACATAAAGATGGTTTGTGATCATTTAAATGAAGGTTCTGGTTCAGGTGTCGGTGGTAACTCACTCGGTGGTGCTTCAGTCGGTGGAAGTTCCGTTGTCGGAAGAGCTGTTGTGGCTACAGTCGGTGGCGGGGTGAACGGCTGTGCGGTACAGTTGACCAACATCCACCACCTGCAGGTCAAAGTGCTCGGATTGAACCTAAACAAATAGAAGCAACTCTTTTTTTCAAGAGTGCCGTTGTGGCAGTGGAAGTAGTGGCGGCAGTTCTCAGGGTCGGGCCAGTCATATGTGGCATTCTTGACGCACTCGTATGACAATACGGGAGACGACAGGGCGACAAAGGCCGCAACGAGAGTCACTGAAACGTGGAAAATATATTTTTGTAGATTAAAAAAAAAAATGTTATTCAAGGTGAAAAAAAATATTCATAAGGCGTTTCAAATAATAAACCACTTCAAATCATCACAAATAATTTAATAAATAGAATTTGTATTAGTATTTATGATTTAAAAAATTTAAAAACTTTTGGGATTTCAGGAAGTAACTAAATTAAGTAATTATAATAAAGGGAAATGCAAAAAAATGTAGGCAGAGATGATTAGTTGGTGTCTCGAGGACAGAAGTCACAATAATTCAAGTGTTCAACCCTAATTTATCAACCCAACCATATTTTGCATAAAAAATAATAAATCAACTAAAATAATTAATCAATAATTAACAAAAATTAATCTTTTGAACAAATGATTACAAAAACGTCGGCCAAATATGACTAATTAATAGACTTCTACAAAAATGAACATACCTAACTTCAACATCTTGCACAACTGAATAAATTGACGAGGCAATGAACCGCTTTTATACCCAAGTTTTATCGTAATCAGTCTGTTCAAAAAAACCAGTAAATAAGAAGATAGTGCACAAAAAAAAATTTCTTCACGGTGGCAATGCTTCAAGTCAACAGCTTTTCAGATGGACGAGTATTTGAACTCCCCACAAGTATTTGAAACGTTCAATTTCAAGGTAAGATTGAGGTATAAAAACAAAATAAATATCTCGCGTTCAATCTGAAATCTGTAAATAAGGCAAAAGTCTATTTTAAATAAACAACGACAAAATTCAAGAGTACATTTTGTATCTGTGTAAAAGTTATGCAATCCTTTAAAATATAATATTTTAAGTTTGCAATACACATAAACATTTAAAAAATATTTTATTTTACAAAGCAAACCCTCGAATTTGATAACATTCATATCATATCTTTGATTTATCACAGAATTACAAATGTTCACACATTGAGTTTAGCTTCGTGACAACGATAACGGCCAAGATATGACATATGTAATTCTCTTCTGTAAGTAGAAACAGTAGAAATGCAAAATATGCCAATTTTTTTTGTCAATTATGTGATATTGCATGTATTCTTATTTTAGACAAGAATCTTTAGTCTATTTCAAAGGAATTTGGTATAAAAAACAAAACAATCGAAAAATGATATTGAAAATTTAATTAAATTTTGATATAAAAATGTCAATGTTGATTGACTGATAATTATTTTAAATTTAAATGTGTGCGAGGGATAAAAACTCACACACTTTCAACCAAGAAAAAAAAACATTGAGCTGATTTCAGGACGTTCAGAAAACTGAGAAATTGTCTTAGGTCTTCTTTATTAAAAAGTATTTCATTAAAAAAAATATACTTTTTTATATAGTCTTGATTGAGATGCAAAAAGCCAGTGTCATGAATGGGATTCGAACCTACGACTTTGAGCTAGTCGTGCCATGACCAATGCAACATTTCAATGAGAAGCTGGTTTTTAATGTCGCTCAATTTTGAACATGCGAAAAATGTGAATTACACACAACTATTTTCCTACTTATTTTCCTAATAAATACTGTAATAAAATAATTTTAAATTAGTTATTAATTTGCAATGTTTAAAATAGGAGGTAGATGAAAATCTAATACATTATTTATGTGATTATCTCCATGTTTAATTTATTTTTTTTTAATTTCTCAAATCGATCTAGTTCCCTCCCTTTGTTGAAACTGTGTAAAATGGATTTAAATTGTGATTTGTTTCATTTAGATGGTCCTTAAATTCAGAAAATTTGTTGTATTTAGGCACATGTATTTTATCTCTCGTTTTAATTACTTTGTCTTATATATTTAATATCACATTCATTACAATTAAGTTTGTAAACATCGCTTTTTGACAAGTCGTCAACCTTGTGCTTAGGTTTTGAGTTGTTTCTATGTGAACACGTGAAAAGCTACTCTAAAATTTGCTCGTTTAAGAATTTTACCTACTTTTTCTGATAGTTCACCAGGCAAGCAACAAAAATCCTAAAGATTATTTTTGGTGGGTTGGCTTTTTTTAAAGTTACTTTTTTATTCTTTTTACTAGCAACCTATAGACAAATATTTCTTGATATCCATTGTTTTTAGCCAAGGTTTTAATCGTTTGCAATTCGTTTTTATAATTAGGTGTTAACGGTAGTTTCAATGTAACGTTTATGAGCCAAATGAATCCAGCAGTTTTTTTGGGTCCATCAGTGAGATGGATCTGCTGGTATCATGGGTGTTGTGGTTTTTCTATATACGTATATGTTCTATATTTCAATTAGGTTAATTAGCTTTAAGTCTAAAAAGATTACACAACCGTCTTTATTTATTTCTAATGTAAAATACTAGGATGTAAAGAATTAATCAATTGGAGGAATTCTTTTAGATCTTCCAATGTTCCTGGTTATATACATAAAATATTTTCATATCATTTCCAAAAAAAAAAGTCAAAATTCAATGTTATCCGCGATTATTTCAGCACAAAATGGGGATAATGGAGACCCCCCCCATTGGTAACCCTTTCATTTCATAAAATTTATTATTAAATTTGCGATAATTAGATAGTAGGCGTATATTTAAGATATCGAGGTTATGTCATTTTCTACAAATTCCTTAATAGAGTCTTAAAAACATAAGTTTTTGTTTTATTAATTTAGTACAATCTTTAACTGGGATATTTGTAAATATGTTAGGAACAAAATGACTACTAAAACACAGTACATAAATTTATGTTCTTTAATTGTTTTATCAATTCTAAAGAAATGTTAAAACCGAATGTAGATTTGAAATTGGTGTGGGTTTTAATTATTTATCTATTGTTATCGCGGTTTTGCGGCATGGCAAATTATGAAAGAACAATACTGGTCTTGGTTGGTTTGTTTTCTTGGAAGATTTTGACCATATAACGTTGGTGTCTAGGTATAAGTTTTTTGGTCATTTGAGAATATAAATTTTATAGCTGTTTGAACTTTAGTTTTGTATTTTAAGTTGGGGAATATTTTAATTCTTAGCAATCATTATTGTTCAGGAATTATTCAACTTATTGAATGAATTTTCAGTGTTCAATGATAACTATTTCATATCCTTTATCGGCTTTTAAAATAATGTTTTTGTACTCATTCATTATTTAAATAAATCTATGGGTAAAATCAGGTTTCTCATTGGAACGTCGTGTTTTTGGTGGATCGGGGGCTTCAACCTGATGATGAGCGTTTAATGCTCGAAATCATGATCGTTTGTAAACAATAAATCTGTAAGTAAGGGCCAGCCTTTAAAAAAAAAAAGTGAATCAAGTAAAAATGTCGCTGAACTTGGCACTGTTTTCTTCCGATTTCTTCCACTGCGACCTAAAGAACCCATTGTGCGATTGACCATTTTTTTTCAAACCTTCAAAATTGCCCCGTCCTTAAGACAATTTGGCACATTTCCGGGTTTATTGATCATCTGGTTTACCTATTCTAAATTTATGTATTTTGTAGGAAGTTATAGAAGTATATAATTAGGCAAGTAGGATAGTTAAGTAGTAAAGTAATTCTTGGCATACAGGGCTTAACATCCAACTACTCGTCGACTGTCCCGGACGAGGGGTCAAACCACTTTAATATATTTTTCATACTATAATCAATTAAAAAATCAGTGACTGTGCCAGGATTCGGACGCAGAATCGCCAGCGTAGCAAATACTTGGACCCCGAGCCACTTGGCCGCTAGGATCTTCTTTAGTATTGTAGTTTTATCGATATTCAGCCTCTGCTGCGTCCCAGGTCACATGGGAGTAGAAGTCAAAGAGAAATCAGACCCTCTTGCAAGAAAAGGGGCTGCTATACCGCCGATAGGACCCGAGCCCTTCTGTGGCATAGGATCCCACACTATCAATGAGTACCTCAGACAGAAGGACAAAAAGAAAATGAAGGAACAATGGAATTCACTCATTGGAAACAATCCAAGAACCTCATAACAAATTTTGGAAGGAAAGAAGTAAAAAGGAAGCGGAAAAAAACTGCGAATCCTAACAGGATTTTTAACAGGACACTGCAAACTAAATGGACATTTAAAGAAGACGGCACATGCAGATTCTGCAAAGAGGCAGAGCAGACACCAGCACACTTATTAACAAACTTTGGTGCTACACTTGCCCACAGGAGGAAGTCCTTTGGTATGTACAATGAGACCATAGAAGAGATGCAACCACTGAAACCAGGTCTACTAATCAAGTTCCTTGATGAAACGGGATTCACCGCTGTTTTAGGCAGAGAACGGGGGATACAATAGCTCTTAAAGGTGGCAGTATATTACATCCCGACCAATACATCTACGTCTAAATCTTTATAGATATAGATTGAAAAAGATGTAGCCCGATAGACGTTTATGCTGACATTCAGTCAAGAGTTTTGCCCTCTCTAACTGTAGCTGTGAGTTTGCCCAGTCTTGGTGAGGGTTGTTTTAACCCATTCTGAGATGGTGGATTCTGTTTGTTTTTGTTATCCCAAATATGTTCAGGTCTCGATATGTTTTTGCAGATCCCTCTATGGCCAGTAGGTCTGCCTATTCATCACCCAAAATTCCTTTGTGTCCTGAGTGGTAGGTAGTTATTAAATAATAGTTTGGATGGTAGGTGAGTTTTATAGTCATTTCATGTAAAATGTTAGACCTCTCGTATTTTACAGGATATTTTACTAAACTGAAATGGAGGACGACAAAATAGAGAATTTTTATAGTTTAATGGGTTTTTTATAGCCCAAAGGATAAAACCGTATATGAGCATCGGTAGTTTTCGGTCATCCTGGTCTACCTATCCTCTCTGATTTGTCTTGAGAGTTCAATCGAAAGGTTCATCTCCCTGCAGATCCCATCAAGAAACCTCCCAATAATGATTTTTGTCCATTTTTTCACCATAAGCATTTGTAAATTTTATAGCTTTCTAACAATTGTTTGATTGTGTTTTTTCAGTTTTAGCCAGTGTGGCTTTCGCCGGCTTGTCTTCTGGGGCTGAGTGCCCACAGTCCGGGAAGGCGCTCCTCCCGTCGGCCGACACATGCAGGAAGTACATCCAGTGCGACTCCGGTGTCGGGAAGGTCATCACGTGTCCCGTGCTCCAACTGTTCGACACCGTCACCCTCCAATGCGATTGGTTTTTCAAAATCGACTGCGGGGCCGTTCCGCCCGAATTTCCGCCATCTCAATGGAAACCCGACCCTTTGATGATGAAGTAAAATCTAGTCGGTGTTGTTCTTTTATTAAATCGATGTTTTACATGGTGGTTTCATTTTTTCCAGACCATCCCCGGTAAGAAAATGAAGTTTTGAAAGTTTTCTTTCTTTCCTAAATTAAGCCAGGGGCTTGATTTCTCAGATGGTTTCTATTGTAATATCAGACTCCTTTCGTCTCCACGTCAACCTCACTGACATAGGACGTAGAATCAACGATTTTAACTTTTTTCTGTGATAGTAGGTTGAAAAATAGTCACGTGTCCGAGCCCCAGGGACCTAGAAAAAAATAAGCATATTTTTAAAATAAGTTTTTCTGTTTTCATTGTGCATGTATGTCAAGGTTCTATGATTCGATTTGTATTTTTACATCGAATAAGAAAATAATATGCAATATTGTATTCAACAAGATTCAACATACAAAAATACAAAAACTCAAAGGCGCTAAGAGTGTAGGCTAAAAATGTTGCTTTTGAAAAAACGCTGGATTCGTTTTAACTACATCGTACAACCATTAAATATTAATTTTAATTAATAATAAAAAATGTACGCCTACGTATTTTTGTTTGGATACGCCAACGTCCATTTTTTCTCGCCGATGTCCGGGGTTCTACTTAAAAATTAACAACTCCTCTGGATTTTATTCAAATTCAATGTTATTAACGGCCTTTGGAAAGCTGAGCCTTCTTTCAAATTATGTAGCAATGTTCAGGTTTTAAGGCTATCATAAATAAACAAAAAAATAAAAATGAATAAATAAATAAATTTCAAAAAATAAGGATGTATTCAATAAAACCTCCTAATGTTTTATGTTTTATCACCTGTTCCGATTTAATTTAAAAAATAATTTTAATTAAAATTTTAAATTTTCGTGTGATCTGAGGAATTGTTTCAGTTATCATTTTTTGATTTTGGAGAAAAGAACAGGAGGCATTTGGAAGGCGAAAAATTTGAGAGAGAGAAAAATCATTCTTTGATTTTCCCAAAAATTTGTATTCAGAGGTTTTTGTTTCTTGTTTAAAAAAAATTTAACTTTTGTCCTATGCCGTCATGACAGAATTCTAAAATCGTTGATATTGAAATATACATAATAATTTATGTTAAAAGTGCGCTAGTATATTTTTTTAGTAAGAAATTAAGCTGGCATTAAAATATTTATGGAAAGATAAACAAATCCTAATTAAATAAAGCTGATATCGTTTCTTGCACCTCCTCAAAAAAAATAATAATATAAATTTTTTTGTGAAAACAAAATCTATTAAAATTTTTCACTTTTTTTTAATCAATCATCATTCACCAGTTTTATTCAAATCGGAATATCGAGTACTCTGGGGTATTATGAATTCTGATGTGTGGATGTAATTTATTAGCGCGAAAGGAAGGGCTTATACCTAATTATCTTGAGGAACGAGTACCCTGGGCTAGTTTGAACGAAGTCTGGTGTGTAAATGTAATTTATTAGCGCGAAAGGAGGGGCTCATCCCTACACCCCGTGGATCGAGTACTCTGGGCTAGTGTGAACGAAGTCTGGCGCGTGAATGTAATCTATTAGCGCGAAAGGAAGGGCTTATCCCTATACCCCGAGGATCAAGTACTCTGGGCTAGTGTGAACGAAGTCTGGCGCGTGAATGTAATCTATTAGCGCGAAAGGAAGGGCTTATCCCTATACCCCGAGGATCAAGTACTCTGGGCTAGTTTGAACGAAGTCTGGCGCGTGAATGTAATTTATTAGCGCGAAAGGAAGGGCTTATCCTCAATTATCCCAAGTAATCGAGTACTCTTAGGTAGTGTGACTGCCAATCAGGCTATCACGTTTTATCTTGTATCTATGTTTATTATTTGTTATGTTTAATGTGTGCGTATGAAAAGAGAGGGTTACCGTCATAACTCGACTGGAAGACAGGAAAAGAAAATCTCTGAAAGAGAGGGCTGATGAAGGCCAATGTAGTTTGCCGGTCTTAAAACTAAAAAAAAAAATGAGCATAAAATCGTTGATTCTACTTCCATAGCCTCCCTTTGTGAGTAAGACTGCTGTTGTCAGGTTTTACAATTATCTAAAACCTTCAAAGATCCGTTTCGAATGTCTTTTTTATGTATTTTCTACTGTTGTTTATCAACCTGTTTTTTTAATGAATTCTATGCAGATTTTCTCTTTTCTATAAGTGTCAGGCTGTCCAAGGCATAATACGTGTTTTTCTCTTTTAAGTGAACCCCTGAAACTATTCGATTCTTCTGATATTTCATGAAGTTGTAAAGAAAATCACGAATCATTCTAGAAATATAAGTTAAATAAGTGTAGCAGCCCTCGCTGATTTGGCAACTTTGAACATTCATTCAGCCCAAGGAAAATACTTCTTTTTTTTATATTTCACTTCTGCTGGAGTCTTGGTTTTCTAAACATAATTTAAAACCAGACCACCCGTGTTTTGTGTCTCGACGGAAAAACCGATCCATCACTTTCTATCTCGGGAAATGATTGATTTTGCTGAATAATGAAAGCTGCCGTCAAAAATAAAGAATGCAAAGTTTTCATCAGAATAATAATAAAAGATACTTTAAATAGTGTAATTAATATATTGTACATTTTTTTGTATAGATATTCCAACTTTGTTAGTAAATGTAATAACGTAAAAAAAAGTACGCGGTAAGCAACAAGCTTGATAATTTTATATTGTAACACTGATTAATTTTTGGAAAAAATATGTTTATAAAAAAATATTTTATATAATAAGGCCTGAAAACTCCAAAACTTTTGAAAACCGATAAAAGGAATTTTCTTGTATTCAGCAAACAATTTGTCAAGAGAATCTAAAACAGGCGATATCGAGTGTATTTTTTTTAATATATTAATCTCGAAACAGTGCACCAAGAATTGATAATTGAAACAATAGGAATCAAGGTAAGAATTTGACCTTTAAATAATTTTGAAACGTTCGATGGTCTTAGTCAAGTTCAACAATTTTTGGTGATTTATGGCATGGTGATCATCGGGAGAAAAGATTTTATGGATTTATTAAATATGAATTTCCTCGTAATTTTTGTTGATATGATGAAGTTTTGAGCGGTACTTCACAAAATGTACCGTTAGTAATGGAAAAACCTTATCAATGTGTAAAAAAAATCAGAACGTCACAGGAAGAGGTCAATTTTCGTTTCAATCCTTGCTCAATTCTTTTTTCAACCCGCAACCAAAATTTTCCAGAAATATCAAATTTATACACTTCTAAGCAACTTTTACAAATTTTATAAAGTCTAGGAGATCTATTTTGTGGAATTTCCTGATCGTTTTTTGTCTCAGGGAGAACAAAAAATTTTTCAAAAGGTTAACTTCGGATCTTGCAAGTACACTTCATTTTTTCAACAAAAAAATTATCAAGAAACTTTTAAAATACACGTTTTTATCAATATTGAAATAAAAGGTTTATGGTAGGTGTTCCTAACTGAAGATGGCGTAAAGTTGAGTAAAACACGCGAAAATAGACGGACCCAGTGCCGTTTAATAGTAATTTTAATACTGCCTTTTGGTGCATCCAGGCAGCACTTTGAGTTTCCCAATTCACGAAAGTACAAAAAAAAACTTTCTATTCGAAACAACAGAGACTAATTTACATAAGACAGCAGGCATCCACTAGAAAATGAAAAATTCCGAAGGAAACACAACGAAACGTGGCGGGCCAGAAAGAAAATCGAACATAGAAGAAATGTCAGAAAACTCCCAAGTGACCATCATGGCCGCAATTCGATTTTTTCGAACAAAGAAAAACAATCAAACAAAACTTTCAAACTCAAGACAAAACTGCAAACATACACCATAAAATGAAACGTTCTGAGGAAACAGCGAAAACAGGCGGACCAGGATGTCAAGGATGTTGTATGAACGACCATCTTAGAATTTTTAATTTCGCAATAAAACAAAAGCAAAAATCAAACAAAACTTTAACTTTGGAGGTCAAGTTTCTGACTTACGAGAGCACCCAGACATCTACGACAAAATGAGACATTCCGACGGTAAAAGTGCGAAAACTGGAAGCCCAGGAAAAAAATGAAACAGCGAAAAAAAGTTGTACGGATGACCATCTTAGAATAATGATCTTCCTAATAAAATAAAAGGCAAAAATCAAACAAAACTTTAACGTGAAATTAGTGATCGTTAGTCGATAATGATTCAGAAATCGTGAGATGCGGTCCGGTGTGATGTAGGTTTCAGAAAAACATTTTCTTTATCGTGCCAACGTTTCGATCTTTACTGAGATCATCTTCAGGGCCTCGGATTTACAAACATTGTTTACATTTAACAAGGATGTGGAAAAAAGTGAATTTATACAATGCAAAAACAGATCGCTACCTCATTCACAGAATTATTACCCTAAGCCATGAATCATTTCACGACAAGAACATAATACAAACATATCCTCCATGACAATCACTACCCTAAACACATAATCAACAGAATAATCAACAACTACAACCAACACTAACATCATCCACTAGTACTAATAACACTACATCAAATCTATCAAATATAAACAAACCAACATACATTTCCATGCCATTCATTCACGGTCTATCACATAAATTAAACACATTTCTCTCGTCCGAAACTTTAAAACAGCATTTATTTCACTATTTTCGTGGTCCGCTTGACCAATTAATACATGCAATTAATTAAGGTTTTTTAGTTGAGATGAAAAAAGTTAATGGCACGAGAGGGATTCGAACCCACGATCTTCGGCTTGATACGCCGCTGCTCTACCACTTGAGCTATCGTGACCTCGATCCACTCGGACATCAACTCCCCATCTCAACCCCACCTTATGAGTTTTCTCTCCTTTTGCCAAAAAAAGAGGGAGAACTTTGGAGAGAATTTTAGAAAAATGGCAAAAGGAGGGAAAACTCATAACTCATGATGTCCAAGTGGATCGAGGTCAAGATAGCTCAGGTGGTAGAGCAGCGGCGTATCTAGCCGAAGGTCGTGGGTTCGAATCCCTCTCGTGCCATTAACTTTTTTTCATCTCAACTAAAAAACCTTAATTAATTGCATGTATTAATTGGTCAAGCGGACCACGAAAATAGTGAATTAATGATTTAAAAATGAAGTACACTTCACTAAAGCTCTCCGTCGCCATTTCAATTGTCGTCGAGAATCCAAACCTATTANTGGCACAATTACACAGAAGACAAACACTTTGAGCCCTGAAGATGATCTCAATAAAGATCGAAACGTTGGCACGATAAAATGTTTTTCTGAAACCTACATCACACCTGACCGCATATCACGATTTCGGAATAATTATAGATAACATACTTATATCATCACATCACGCAATACAATAATAAACATAAAATATTCGTCACATTCCACACAACAAACATTTTTACATAGTCTAATTTTTCAACAATTTAGCTTTCCTTTTCCTAATTAGTTGACTTACTTCAATATCTCACTGGCACTCTCAACACGACACGCAAGAATGGCACAATTACGCAAAAACAAACACTTTGAGTGAGTCGAAATACTTCGATTGAATACAAAAAATATATTTTCAATTCAGTTTTTTCCACATCCTACATGTATTTGTTAAATTTAAACAGTGTAAATCCCAGGCTCTGAAGATGATCTCAATGAAGATCGAAACGTTGGCACGATAAGGAAAATATTTTTCTGAAATCTACGTCACACCAAACTGCAGCTCACGATTTCTGAATAATTCAAAACTTTAACTTTGAAGCTCAAGTTTCTGACTGACGAGAGCATGCGGACAACTACAACAAAATGAGACATTCCGACAGTAAAAGTGCGAAAACTGGAGGCCAAGGATGGCCAGGAAGAAAATGAAACAGCGAAAAAAAGTTGTACAGACGACCATCTTAGAATTGTGACCTTCCTAATAAAATAAAAGGCAAAAATCAAGCAAAACTTTAACTTTGAAGCTCAAGTTTCTGACTTACGAGAGCATGCAGACATCTACAATAAAATGAGACATTCCGACAGTAAAAGTGCGAAAACTGGAGGCCCAGGATGACAAAAAAAAAATCAAACTGCGAAAAAAGTTGTATGGACGACCATCTTAACATTGTGACCTTCCTAATAAAGTAAAAGGCAAAAATCAAGCAAAACTTTAACTTTGAAGCTCAAGTTTCTGACTTACGAGAGCACGCTGACGTCTACAACAAAATGAGACATTCCGACAGTGGCGAAAACTGGAGGCCCAGGATGACAACAAAAAAATCAAACTGCGAAAAAAGTTGTATGGACGACCATCTTTGAATTGTGACCTTCCTAATAAAACAAAAGAGAAAAATTTAACTTTGTTCTTCGTGGGACTTCATAGATTAATAAATTGAGGGTAAGGCACATCAGTTTTACCTAATGATCCTTTCAAGTGGGTTACGGATGACGGGGTCGAAAGGTGCCGACGCGATATTTCAAGGGTACTTGTTGCTTCGGGAGCGCCCTACTTGTTGCTATAGTTATCCCAGTTGGCGGGAGATCGATGCCCGTTTGGGGGCGGCGGTCCACCCCCGGTCATGCGCGCGGGCCGCCCCCGGCCCTCTCTCTCCGTGACCATGGCGACCCATCTCAGTTCCAACCACCAGGACCCGTAGGCATGAACCTGCCCGTCTCTTGACACCCCAGGTACGCAAAAGTGACGCCCACACTGACACAGTTTCGTCCTGGTCTATAGATCGAAAATTAATCCTTTAACAATTCACTTTTTTTTTAACTAGCCTGATTACTAAAAAAGATTTTCAAAAGTATAAAGATACAATTTTTCAAAAAATAAGTTTCTTATAAATAATTTTAAAAACTTTAATATTAAAAACTATTTTTTATAATATAATTTCTGCTAAATTATTTCGGCTTTACTCAATTAGTGAGTATGTCAACCCTTCTAAATTTTTACCGCAGTTTTGGTAGTATTGATTCATTCGGGTCTCTGCCATTGTTTTGAATATTAAAAGACATCTCTTTGTAATAAATAAAACCATCTTCAAACCCCTTCAAAACATTATTTTATAAATTTGACATTAAAATAAAAAATCTTATATGTAATAATTCTCCATAAACAAAAATATAAACAAAAGGTTACGAGTTGTACACACAGTGTGAAGTTTATGCAAAACATAAAACGTACGACAGTGCCATTTAAAAAAATTGTCACCGTAAAAACAATAATTGCCGATTTCATGTTAATTACCTTACGCTAATCGAACGCTCAATAGCAATCCTGCTCGATCAGAAATTAGCTTTATTATTTTATGTCAGGCTTACAGTTTCCAAACCCGTGGATTGGAATAAAAATTTGATTAACACGACGAAATTTGAACCTTTGGAACATAATCCATTCATAAACACACACAAAAGGTCGTTGTTGATGTTGTGTACAAACATTAACCCAGACTCGCGACAATAAAATTACACGAATTGAAAAGTTTTAAATTATTGGAAAAATAGAGTTGTGCTAAGAAATATTGATTTGTTATATTTATTTTTTTTTATATCAGTGCAACATAAACATACTTTGAGCAAATATGTTGATGTAAAAATCTGATAGACCAGGAGGCAGCGTAGGGAGAAACCAGCCAACGCTGGAACCCTCTTTTATTTAATCGGTAGGGTTAAGGTTCCAGGAGGTCACGAGGTCATTTTAAACGACGTTGAGGAAAGGATTTGAGTGTAGGGATACTTTAGAGTGGGAATTGATGAAGTTTGGATAATGACCTCCACGAATGGGGCTTTAAAGTCTTTATGGATCATTTGATTGATGGCGTAGAAGGATACGGATATCTTTCCTTTAAAAGGATTGAATTGGATGTTGGAGGATCTGGCTGTGTCCAGTTGAAAGTTTTGTCCAATTCGTTCTGTCGAGTGTTGTGCAAGCAGTTAGTAATATAGGCTTAGTGTTGATTTTGGACCCAGTTGGTGTCCGTATAAGTCTAAGTAAAGCCCAAGGTAGCGGACTTGTTTGGATGTATTACCTTGTTTAAGTACACTGGTGGGCAGGTTTGAGTGTAAACGTAACTCGTTGGCTTTTTCCTCGTTCAATCTGTCGGTAATGTTGAGACCTTGGATTGCTTCTATGGCTAGGATAGGATTGCGGTGTTGTTAATTGTCTGTTTGGGTGAGTATGTGCACAGTGTAGATGATGTAGGAGGCCTAGGATACGTCTCGTTTTATTTAAGAGAAAAAAGAAGGTTGAAATGACGTTAACAGAACGTTCGAAAACGATCCTTAAACCATTAATCAAATATTAATCCTTTACCACTTTGTTTACATAATTAACAAATTTGCCCTGTCTAATACTCATTCAATTATGCACCCGGGTCTTTGCATTTCATTTCCTGTTGGGCGAGGAAGTCAAAAGGATAAAATAGCCCAATCGGGGGGGGGAAAAGGCCCAAATGCGGCAGACGGAAAAATCCGTTTAGCCTGCTGAATGAGCGTTGCATAATTCGTTAGTAATTCGGCACCTTTCAGGTTTAGGACGTTTCAATCCTGGGAACCGTAAGTCGAATTAATCGAGTGTTTTAACAAGGATGCAACGTGGCCCAAAAAAAGAGCTTTGGAATGATTTGCCTTTAGTAAAAAAAAGTTCCATACTGCTATAACTCGATTTTGTACTTGTTGCAAGAATAAAACCGAAAGATAAAATAAGAAAAAATGCAGAAGTGTGATGGATAACCGCTCCGCCTCTCCCTGCTTATAACCCTGTCGTCGCGCCATCTATCGCCTGGTCTCCGGAGCAGTATCATAACAATAATCTCAAACGCTCGATCTGTTTCTGACTGTCTGCTTTTATATGAAAACTAAGTCGACATACCTCAGGTTGTTAACTACATAATAGATATTAAACATGACTACAAACGTAGAAATCTGCTCACATTCACCCCCCCCCCGAGTACTCGATATTCCACGGGGCGGGGTTGAACCCACTCCATTCTCGCTAATAAATTACTCTCCAGACGTCACACGCTTATCCCAGGGTACACGAAATCCCTCGAGACGGGGTTGAACCTATTCCATTCTCGCTAATAAATTACTTTTACTTTCCAGATGTCACACGCTCACCCCAGAGTATTCGATTTTCCTCTGGGCAGGGTTAACCTTCGTTAGACAACACCTTCCTTTCAAGCTAATAAATTACATTCATTCCAGGAAATTAACACAAACACAACACTCGATAGAAACATAGGAGTCTGGTCGCATTCACTCCCCCAGAGTACTCGATATTCCTCGGTGCGGGGTTGAACCCACTCCATTCTCGCTAATAAATTACTTTTACTCTCCAGACGTCACACGGTCACCCCAGAGTACAGGATATCCCTCGGGGCAGAGTTAACATCCATTAGGCAACACTTTCATTTCAAGCTAATAAATTACATCCATTCCAATAAATTAACATAAACACAACGACTGACATAACGGGGCCGATGGTTAAGGTGTCACGGTGCTCAACTTTGAAAACGCCCCGAGGGTTGATTTGACCTCTCCTGTTGCGCACCTTCATTAAAAATTTAAAAAATTTAAAAATTAAATTAATTTAAAAAACAGGTTTTTAAGATTTGTAAGCAAGTGTGTCACACTAATTTTTCTTAAAACTGCTAAAAGACAATTTCTGTATAAAAAAAAGTTTACTGTTCTAAAAGTTGCTTCACCTAAGAACCCTAGTTTGTCATCTTGATTTTTTTTCTGTTCTCAAATTTTTTATGTTATTTTTATGTTCACCGAGTTTATGATGATCCTGTGGCGGTTATGGTTTGACAATGCCGCCGGGGAATGAATTAATCGGCAAAATTCACGGCCTAGTGGAAGTATCGAGCGGCTTCCAGGACCAATCGGCGTACTTATAGCTGGAGGGTAATTACAGAAAGGCAATCCTGCGGTTAAAAATTGCCCGCTCCCTTGAAATGAAAGGATTTTGAACAAAAAGACATCGTGGATCGATTACTTTCCAGGGATAGTTTCATTCTTAAGATTCTAGTTTTGACCCTTAGTCTATCCCGACTATCCCTTAGTTTGATTTGTACTGTTATCCTGCAATTTGAACGTGCAAAATTAACGCCAAATTTTATCTCTCTCCCTCTTTAATTAAATAATTAATTTTTTTAATTATTGCGAAAACGTTTTGAATAAACCGTTCCGAGCAAAAAAAACAACTGAGATTCTCTTTCAATGGATGATATTCGAAAGAGTTGTACTCTCTTGGATTAAAATTCATAGCTACCAGAGCTTTTAAAAGAGGCCACCGATTCATTTGAAATATTCCGAACTGGAGTTATTTTAAGCTAAGCAGCTTTTATTCTAAATCTGAATATACATTTTGTTAATTTGGTTCTGTTCAAAATGACGAGAAAGTCATTATAAAAAATGTTAAATATAACAGGCTACAAAAATTAAGCCGAAAATTTGGCAGGCCCTTTTAAATAAAGAGTTTTGGAAAAATAAAAACCCTGGAACTAATAGGGGCTTTATTGTGGTAAACAGATGGGACATGGAGTAGAATTTTGACATAGCGAGACCCTAGATCCCACACCATCATTTTCAATCAATTAATACAATATAATTCTGTGCAAGAGAAAACTTTTAAATTTACAGGTTCACAGTACAAAACGCAATACAAGAATGTATTCAGTTTTAGTCGTGAAAGAATCTCACCTGTTCGAGAATAGGCCATACACGATTGATGGACACCTGCTTTTGGAGCTAACTCCCGCAGGAGTCTACTTTCAGAAAAACGTTGCTCATTTTGATTATTTGAAAGTTGTGAGCTGCGGTCTGGTATGAAGTAGGTTTTAGAAAAATATTTTCTTTATCGTGCCTACGTTTCGATCTTTATTGAGATCATCTTCAGGGTTCAAAGTGTTTGTTTTCCGTGGAGATGTGTCATTCTTGTCTGTCGTGTTGAGAATCGTTGCTGCTGAGTTGCTCATTATATCACACTTGGTTGAGGAGTGCAAGGCCTCCTTACAGGGAGCGAGTAGGTATGGGACTGACATAAAGGCAGTCCTTGAGCATGAGAATCCCTAGTTCCGATTTTTAATGGAAACGTGGTAAACACATTTTTAATCTGTAAATATTTTATATAACGTATACATTTAATGAATTTTTTGTGTGAATGTGTGAGTGGCCGATGGAGGAATATCGAATCGACCCAATGCATTGGGGGCTAGATTCGGTAGCACCATGTAAAAAGAAGGAAACAGGTGCATAGCAAGCAACACTGAAGGTGGCAAGGCTTTAGGTTTAGACTAACGTATCTCCAGCACCTGGGTAAAATGGTATAAGAAATCAGGTAACTTTGATGAGGGATAACATGACAAGAAAGGACTGAAGGCAATGAACAAGCAGACAAGCTAGCAAAAACAGGAGTCCTCGCAGATTTTTTGGTTCAGAACAGCACAAAAAAACTGAACAATTCGATGAAGAACGAAATGGCCACATAGACCAATTCATCAGGTGTAAATAAAATCAAAGAAGTCAAAGAAAATAATAGGCATTTAAACTGGTCATTCAATTACCACCTAAAAGAGTGAAAAAATTGAGACAAAAAAACCCTCTCTTCAAAATCGAATTGCGTGGTGTCGGGGTTATAAGAAGGGTGAGGATCAAATCACATACTCCTTATTCTGCGATTA